GAGGAAGTTTACATGAAGCAACCTCCTGGTTTTAATGATGGTTCTGGGTTTGTTTGTCGTCTTCGGAAATCTATTTATGGCCTTAAGCAGGCGCCTCGAGTGTGGTATCAATCTCTCAGTGGCTTTCTTCTTTCACTTGGATTTTATCAATCTGTTGCTGATGCCAGTTTGTTCATCTTTTCCTCTCATCCATCTTACATCTATGTATTGATTTATGTGGATGACATTATTGTTATTGGCTCTACACCAGCCTTGGTACGTCAGACTATTGACTCATTGGCCCACCAGTTCTCTATCAAGGATTTAGGAGCTCTGCACTATTTTTTGGGCATGCAGGTTACTCCTACACAGGGTGGACTCTTTCTTGATCAACATAAATACATTATGGACATATTAAGAGTTGTAAAAATGGATGAGGCTAATCCTGTTGCTACGCCGTTAGCCCCTTCTGCTTCGTTAACTCTATTTGACAGTTCAGGCTCTTGTGATGCCACTCTCTATCGCCAGGTCCTCGGGTCACTTCAGTATTTGAATCTTACTCGGCCAGATGTTGCCTTTGCTATTAACAAATTGGCTCAATTTATGCATAAACCGACGGTTAATCACTGGCAACTTCTCAAACGCCTCTTGCGCTATCTACACGGCACTGCCTCTCATGGGCTCTTCCTTTGTCGCAGCACCTCTCCCTCTCTCCGGGCCTTTGCTGATGCTGACTGGGCAGGAAATCCTGATGACCGCTCCTCTACCAGTGCATATGCCATCTTTCTTGGGGAGTCCCTTGTATCTTGGAAATCTGTTAAGCAACGCACTATTGCTAAATCTTCCACGGAAGCAGAATATAGAGCTCTTTCTACTGCTGCCTCTGAAATTATTTGGATTGAATCTCTTTTGCGGGAGTTGCGGCATCCATTGCCTTCTCCTCCACTCCTCCTTTGTGATAACAAAGGAGCTACTACATCTTCAGCCAATCCTGTCTTCCACTCTCGCATGAAACATGTGGCTATTGACTTTCATTTTGTTCGACAGCGGGTTCAATGTGGACTACTTGAAGTTCATCATATCCCATCTTCTGATCAGATAGCTGATGCCCTCACCAAACCGCTTCCCCGGCAACGCTTTATGCTTCTTAGAGACAAGCTTCGGATTCTTGGCAGTGACAGAATACCTAGCTTGCGGGGGCGTATTGAAGGAAAATAATAATTCACATTTAAGACATAATATTGTAGTTAGCCGTTACATATCTCTACCATTTAATATTATATTATTACTTACCTTATAGACTTAGTCAGTGTATGTATAAATAGAGCTCATTGTAAACGAGTTATACACATCAAAATATATTCAGACATTCAGTTTCCCTTCTCCCTATTAAACATCACTAAAACCACACCCCATTTTGAGCATCAATTCAAGATTCAAACTCTACTATTAACATAGCTAAATGACACAAATCATATCAACCAATGTTTAATAGTACAACTGTACAAGATTTTTTGGATAATTTGCAAATTTTGCCATCATCTTGGGTTAGATGATAGTATGGCTTTGGAGAGAGCAAAGTGGAGGACGGGTATTCGTGCGGCGGATTGATTTCTTATCTCTTTTTTCCCTTTATCTTCTTTATCTTTCTTATGTTTTTTATCCTTTTATCTTTTCTATTTTATATATGGGACTTTGTGAGAAGGATCCAAACGACAGAAGTTAAAAAGGCTCTAAGCAAGATAGAACGTACGAAAGACATACTGATGCACAAGAATGTGCCAACTATCGAGGGACTAAGCTTATGAGTCACACCATGAAATTTTGGGAGCGATTGGTTGAGAAAAGACTCCGTAAAAGTGTGAAAATCTCGGCAAATCAGTTTGTTTTTATGTATGACAGTATGAGTACTCAAGGTTTAAAAAGGCTAGTTCGGGTATCGAGGCGGTTTGTTGCGGAGAGGCGAGGCATAAGCCTCAAGGCATATTGAGGCGTGAGCCTCAAAATATACCAATAGATAAAACATATAATAGTTAAACTAGTAATAAACAACTAAAGAAATGGATAATATAAGTCCAAAAAGTATCAAACACAAACACTAGTATAAACACAGATTTTCCTAATGATTGGTTAGGGATCATAATTTAAGGAGTCCATCTTTCATCTTGTAAAACCTTGACCAGTTCTAGGAGAAGATGACCAACTGCTTAGTACAAGAAGAAAGAGGAGAGAAGGAGAGGAATAAGACAAGTGAGGGAATAAAGAAGGAGAAGAGATGTAGAAGGAGAGGAGCAAAAGAATGGACTGTTTGTAAGTTGTCTGAAGTAGTATGAAAACTTCTGTGTGCAGAAATATGCAAACATTTTAACAATTACTACTTACTTTAAATGAAAAAAGACTTGTTAGGGGTTTAGTTTGGACTATGAATACATGTTTAATGTATGGTCCTTTTTATTAAATACTACTTAAAATAATCCAGGCCTTTCCTAAGTCGCAGCCTATTAAAAATATAGAAACAAAGAAACACACGCCTCAAAAAACGCCTCAAGGCGCGCCTCAAGGCATACGCCTCAAAAGTTGAGGCATAAGCCTTTTGACATGCGAAAACCCCTAAGCCCTGATACTTTCTCTATACGCCTCACCTTGAGGCGCGCCTCAAAACCCGCCCTGTGAGTGCCTTTTTAAACCATGTGAACACTCAAAAACTGAGTTCATTCACCTTCATAGACAAGTTTTGGAGAAGTATAGAGATACTAAGAAGGATCTGCATTTAATTTTAATTGACTTAGAAAAGGCATATGATAGAATACCTCGAGAAGTCCTTTGGTGGGCCTTAACTAGAAAAGGCATATCATGTAAGTATATATCTATATCTTCATGGATATATATATATGAGTCTTGTACTAAAAGTGTCCCTACTAATGTAGGGAGGACGACAGAGTTCCCTAATACTATAGGAGTGCATCTAGGATCGGCTCTGATTCCTTTCTTATTAGCTATAGTCATGGATGAACTTACGAAGCCAATTCAAGAAAGTATACCGTGATGCATGATGTTTGCCGACGATATATTGTATTGATAGATGAGACACAATCGGGTGTTAAAGCAAAGTTGGAAGTTTGGAGTATGTGGAGTAGAGTACGTATATGGAGTGCAAGTTTAGTGGAGATAGAAGTAGTAGTAATAGTGGGATTATCCTTGATGGCAAGGAGATACTAGTGTGTGATATGTTCCGTTACTTGGCCTCTATAATTCAGAAGAATGGTGAATTAGATGGAAATGTATCTCATAGATTCGGATCAGGGTGGATGAAATGGAAGAGTGCATCAGGATTTCTATGTGATAGAGGTATGCAGACTAGACTGATGGGTAAGTTTTATCGAACAACAATTAAGCTTGCATTAATGTATGGCGTAAAATGTTGGGTGGTGAAACAATGTCACATTCTAAAGATGAGTGTGGTAAAGGTTTGTACGTTGCGTTGGATGTGTGGACATAAAGAAAAGACCGCTTGAGGAAAGAGATAATCAGACAAAATATGGGAGTAACACCTATAGAAGATAAGATGCGAAGATGTGGAGGTCTCGGTTGTGATGGTTTGGTCATGTGCGCAGAACACCGAGTGATGCACTTGTTAGATGAGTTGAGAGGTGGGGAGTAGAGGCAGGGAGGAGAGGGGGGAAGACTCAAATAGACTTGGAATAGAAATGATATGCTTCTTCATGGGTTGGATGAGAGTATGACTTTAGAAAGAGCAAAGTCGAGGACGCATATTCGTGTGGAAGGTTCATCTCTTTTCACTCTCTCTTTCTTTTATCTTTTATCTTCTTTATCTTTCTATGTTCTTATGTTATTTTTATTTTTGTTATCTTTCTTATGTTCTTTCATCTTTTTATCTTTCTATCTTTCTTATGTTCTTATGTTATTTTTATGTTTTTAGACAAGAATAGATGGATCCATAACACCAAGTAACAAATCAACATAAATCAACGAATATATGAAGTTGTATCCAGCTGTAAAATTAGAATTGCTATGAGTATGGAATTAATCAAATAATTAAATTAGAAGGCATAAAGTAACACCATTAGCGCCTTGATCAATTTCCTCTTAAAATAGAGGCATAGAGAATGAAGTCGGCAGAATCAATCCTGGCCACAGCCTTGGAGAACATTGCAGCAGCCACGCCGCTGCTTTCGGCAAAGAAATCCTTGAACGTGGCGGCAAACGTCGTCGTCGCGTTGGTGAGCCGGCTTCTTGACGTTTTTGGAATGTGGCGGCGTCGGAGGATGGTAGTACATCCTCAATGTCTGAGGGCAGTGAGAATTGAACCCGGCGGCGATTCTCATTCCGGCATATGTTATTTTTATATTATATTTATCTTTATCTTATCCATTTTATCTTACCTTATTTTTTTCTTATTTTTCTTCTCTTTTTGGTGTTGATATCATGGATCGATTCATGTTAGCCGAGCTCAAAATCGTTTGGGAATAAATGTTGGATGTTGTTGTTTACCATCCAGTTTCTAAAATGTAACCAAACTTGAATGTCGTCAGCCGTCAGGCCTACCCTTGATGTATTTAGTTACTCTAGAGATCACATACCAGGCATTCATCTATCCACATGGGTGGAGCTAGGGGGGCAAGGTGGATTGGTAGGCTCCTGCCCAACCCAAATTTAAAAAAAAAAATATTTAAGGCATAGCAAAGTTATATAACTACAAGCTTAAGTTTACAGCCAATTGCTACACTCAAAAAATCAAAAAAGATAAGAGCTCGAACGTCCCTACAGCTAGCAATTAAACCAATCCCTGGCTAAATGCCCCAAAATCCAATCAAGAAAGGTTTAACTGTCACTAAACAACTGTAATGCGTCATTGTAAAGCCAACCAATTATTAAGGCATAGCAAACCAAACATAATAATGTCAACTTTCCAAGTAAGTAGCAGGTACACCAAGAATAAGAAGGAAAAGGAAAAGGAAACATAACCTTCTCAAGGGACGAAATAGAAGTAGATTACTAACCGGAGTTTTCACCAAGATACCTTCAACGTCTTGAGAAGTCAGTTTGTGGGAGTGTGTGGCGAACTGGTGGTAATCCCCGAAGGGAGGCCTCACGGCCGTGAATGGCAGCTGCTGTGGCCTCGAAGCTTCTTGAAGATGCTGCTTTCGCATTATACTAAAGATTCTTGACAATCTTTAATTATTTTTTGAAGAAAAAGGGGGTTTTGAAGAATCGATGGTTTTTAGGGAGGGAGGGAGCCTGGAAAAGTAAGAATGGTTGATGAGGTAAGAGAAAATTGAGGAGAGGAAGAAAAAGATATAGATGGGATCTGAGTTTATAGGGTCCGTGGGACTGGAAAAAGCGGGAAGAGAGAGAGAGGAGTGGGAAGAACCGAGAAATTTGTTGATTTAGTCCCGTAACTTATAGCTATACCCGATATTGGTCCTGTAACTTTATTAACTTGCAGATTACATCCCGTAACTAATAAGTTTGTGCAATTTTGGTCCTTCTCTGCCGGAACTTACCAATTTCGCCGGAAAAGACACATCACCTGCCACATGGTATATTATTTGGAACTCATTTGCTGACTCAATGTTGGCCCTTAGCTAGAGTTAAAAAATTATTTCTTCTTGGTTGCAGCAGGAGCATTTTGAATGAAGTTTAAAGCTTTTTGGATTCATGTTTTAAGAATAAAGCATTTGAAATGTTACATCATCTTCACTTCTCACATCTTTAACATGAGAAAGACCAGGAGTAAAAACACTAGCCCCGCAACAACTATGAGGAACCTTTTATTTTTAGCCTTCAACTTTACAACCTCTTCCTCTTTTGAATTGAGTCTTCTAACCAATCCCGGAATTATCATCGTTCAACGATGGCACATAGGTGGGTCCGCTCATTCAAAAAATCTACAACTTTCTGTCTGTATCAAAACAAGATGAAGCTTAACTTACTTTTTACTGCTTTGAACACAAAAATACATTATCAAATGCCCCCAACAAATAGAAGATGGCAATTTTATTAGCAGAACCTAACTTAAAATATAAAATACATTTTAATTTTCAAACAAATTTATTATTCAAATGCTATTCTTAAATTTCTAGTTTATTTAGTAAAAAAAGAAGCAAACAATGTAAATTAAAAACCTGAACTTCTTACTCTGCTTCTAGCGCGTGCACGAAACCTCCTTCCAGGATCGTTATCAGTCCAAGAAGTTAGAAGAGAAACCTTTTTACCACAATCACACTCCATAAACTTTTGTCTGATCGAGAGCCGTTACTAGCAGATTTGAAGAATAACTCACTCTCTCGACTTAGTTCAGGAGAAATCTTCAGGTAGAGTTATATGTTCTTCCCCCCTTTTGCAGATCCGATAATAGGCTTGGTATGGTTGTGCACGCACTTAGCGAAGAGCTTTCGTACTCTGGTTTTTTAACTCCAGCTAAGTGTCAATATTAAGTCAGCAAATGAGTTCCAAATAATATACCATGTGGCAGGTGATGTGTCTTTTTCCGACGAAATTGATAAGTTCCGGTAGAGAAGGACCAAAATTGCATCAACTTATTAGTTACGGGATGTAAATTGCAAGTTAATAAAGTTACAGGACCAATATCGGATATAGCTATAAGTTATGGGACTGAATCAACAAATTTCCCGGAAGAACCTTGGTTAGGATGTAGAGATACATGTGGAGGGAATGTTAATTTTGGCACTTACTCAAAACAGACCAGACCAGATAGATCAAATTTGAAGATTGAATCGAGTTGACATGTGAAAACATACTTTTTGTCAAACATAGATTAACACAATTCTACTCAAATACAACATCACTAGACTCTTGCTTATACAAAATTTTACTCAAACACAAATTAACACAATTTTACTTAGGGTGTGTTTGGGAGTTGGATTTTGGAGGGGAGGAGAAGGTTGATAAGGGTTTATGACCCTCTATCTCGTGTTTGGAAATTATAAAATAAAATTGGAGGGGATGGTTTTGGAGGGCTTTTGTGACCCTCCAAAACCCTCTAAATGCTCAATTTTTTATCCGGGTTCCTCACTCTCCCCTCCATTTCCCCTCCAACAACATACCTCCAAAGCATTCCCCTCCGCATCCCTCCAAACTCCCAAACATACTCTTAAGCATTATATGTAATTTGAATTTCACATTCTACAACTAAACATTCATTGATAGTCAATATGCAAATATGTGATATCACTTTTACAAAAAAAAAAAAAAAACCTACGGAATTGATAATCATGTACCTAAATTATATGGACTAATATGATATATGTTGTGGGGTAATAATTATGCATTTCTTTTTTTACAAACCTGGATTTAACAAAGGGTTCTAACAAATCAAAGTTCTCACACGTCTATATTTATGTCATAGAGCAAATAGACTACATGCATTAGAAAGCTAGGTTTAAAATTTGTGGGTAGAGGAGGAGTGCATGCAATATAACAACAAATGTTGTGTACTAAAAGCATTAATTTAGTTTATAGCTTATGAACGGTACGTAATACTCAACACAATCGTTTTTTTCATTTATTTTAAAAACTACAATAAATCATAGTCATATTAATGCTTTTGAATCGGTCATTCTCATATCTTAACATAATATTAACACACATAATCTTCTTCACTAATATTACACGACCCGTGAGAACTTTCACAGGACTTATCTACTAAAGATGCGGACCAAGGATTCGAAGGAAGTCCTGACATTGCAACATATAAATCACCAATGTATTTAGTCCATCACATTAAAGCTCATCGCTTTAGTGATAATAACGGGCGTCTACGCGACCCTAGGGGCTACAATTGTTCTTTGCAGATTCTTGTGAACATGTCATAACGACCAAAGTGAAATCTATTATGGATGATTCACGATGATTGGTCGGAAGTCCTATCAGAGTTTTAACACTTCTATCGTTATATGCAGGCCACACATCGATGTCTTTTCATTGGTGATGTGTCAACGGAACACCACAGTGTATCCGAATTTTAGTTTTGTTATGGAGAATAAAAGGATGAATAAAGCATGACGTCCCGAGTCATCGGATTGTCATGAGGGGAGAGCGATCCAAGTGCATTAAAACTTTCAAAGATCATTCTTGGATACTTCTCTCCTCGAACACAAACATCTGCCAACATCTGTCCACTCAGCTTCAAATCAAATGTTCAGCATATACTCACGACTCAACCATCACTTTCGTTGTGCCATCGACAACTGTCCCTCAAGATCATTCATGTCAAATAGTCCAAAAATACTACATTCTGGATGAGACAGAGGTCATATAATCAAATACACAAGATAAATCCCATGTGCGTCTGGAACTCATCAGAACACTCATTCTAGAGGTGCCATCGGACTTCATTCAAGCTGATCAAGAGCAACTTCTGAAAGGCAAGAGCTATGTACTAGGTCTGGAGATCTCTCAACCCCCGGGATCAAATAACAAATTGCTAGAAGAAATCAAAGGGGAGACTGTAATGACTTCTTCTGAAAGTCTTTCGAAGAAGACAAAGGAAACTGAGTTGCATTGAAGAAAGAGACAAAGAAGGAACAACTTGATAAATCTCATCTAATCTCCCCTTTACATTGCAGATCCGCAGATCCAAGACAAAGACAAAGATAATCCAAACTTCATTGCAAATTGAACACAAAGGGGGATATTGTTAGAACATATTTTATTGTGTTCAATTTAATTGTATTTATCTTTGTTAATTAGAATTAGTTAATGTGCTCATTATTTAATATTATGGGTTGTCCTTATGTAATTAGGATGATCCGCTGTTATGTCTATAAATAGATACGTAGGTAGTATATCATGCATTCATGCCTAGAGAGAAAAGAGTTCCATATTATTTTCAACCACACGTATCAGTCTTGAGCTCTCAACTTTATTCTCTCTCAAGACTTTATTCGTATATCATGTATTCATTGACATATTATTATGAATATACGGTAATGCTTGTTGATTGATTGTTTCATCTTCTACATCTTTTCTACGTATTTGATTTATTGTTATTTGACTGTTGAATTTAGGAATTCATAATTGTCGTTGTACCGGCCTATTAGAAGCCAATGTAAAGCTCACGGTGCAATGCGGTGTGATGTGATGATGGAGGAGCTATGACGATGGAGGTGCAGTTGTGGCTTGCGACGATGGGGTGCAGATGACTTGCGAAGATGGAGATCCAACTATGGCTTTGGGCGAAGAAGGTGCACTGCTAAACCAAGATTTGGAAATGACAGATGTGCTCATGGTATTATTTCCGTCATTATTTCTATCAATGTTGAGTTATTTTTCTTTTTATGTTCTCAATGTTATATTCATAACATTGAGAATAAATTTCACGTTATTTCTAACCATGGATGCAAAGTGAAAGCATCATAACATAAATCTAGACAAATCCATATTAGGGGATTTTATGTTATCATTGATGACATTTTAACTTGGGAAAACTATCAAACAAGCCCCCCAACTTGGGAAAACTATCAAATAAGCCCCTCTACTTTAAAAAATCAATTAAACTCCTCAACTAAAAATTGGTTCAATCAAACCCTCAAACTCATTTAAAAATGGCAAATCACTCTTTTTAACCGGTAATGAATCATGTTACCGGCTAATGACCGTTTTCTCATTTCCTTTTTCTTTTGTTTTCTTTTGCTTTTGCTTCCTTCCGATCTCCCCCGTTCTGGCAAACCAGATGGATACATTGTCATGTGTAACCAACTGATGGATGCACCGCATGGCTGAGCAGATCGACACACCGTCTTTGCTGACCATTGGAAGTCCTCATCGCCAACGCTACCTCGCTGGCCCGACCCCGGTGACGCGCTCTCCCCTCCAAGCTGTCAAGTAGCGCCTTTGCAGATGCAATTTGGAGCCCGGGAAAAACGTCGGTCCAGTTGCCATCGATGTTGGAATCTTGTTGGAATCTCGAATTGAATCCGGCTCTCCAACCTTCAACTATCAGAATTTAAGCCGTGAAACCCAAGTTAAATCTAGGGTTAAAAATCATTTGAATTGATTATTTGGCTTGCATTGGGGAAGTTTTGGGAGACGGGAGCTACGGTTGACACCTCGACGGTGGAGTCGGGTTGCAGCGTTGGTCGCTCAAGACAAGAAGCTACAACATCGGGTTGGGAATTCAAGCCAGAAAAAACCCATGTTTCAATCCAGGGGAAGAAGAAAATACCAAGGGAAGAAAGAGGGAAGGAAAAGAAATAAAGTAAAAAAGAAAACAAAGAAAAGGAAAATCATGGCAGCCAGCAGAGAACTAGGGAAGGAGAAGAGAACGTGTGAGGAAGAAATTGACAGGAAACAAAGAAACAAAGGTGCAACGGGAGGGCAGAAGGAGAAGGGCGGAAGGAGAAGGAAAATAGAGGAAAAAATGAAAAAGAAATGGGAAACAGTGATAAACAGCCGGTTAACACATTGAAATAGCTCAAACCACATGTATATTTTCTGTACTTTTCCCTTTTTTTTTAAAGTAGAGAGACGTATTTGATAGTTTTCCCTTTTAACTTTAAAGGGAAAATAAATAAAGTCCATAAATGTCTTAATATGTCTCATGTCCAAATCCACATAAATCTAAACAAATTCATATAAATGTTTCAAATGCCTCCTAAAAGTCTAAAACCCCATATTTACAAGAAAATGTCTTGGAAATTGAGATTAAAATAGAATTAGATAATTAAATTTGAATTGTTAGAGAAATAATTGCAAACCACAACAATGTGGCACTATAAACTTTTTGAAATATACTGTGTAGAACTGCGAGCCGATGGATTAATACTCTTGATCCGCATGTAGACATGTGGTGCCTAAATGGCAAAAGTACGTAGTTTAACTTAATGATGCATTAGCGGGAGGTGTTGTTGATATTGGAAACGATATGAATAAAATATTACTACCTAAATTGCAAATAGTTTTATTCTCATGGTAGTAAACTAGTAATTAACTAGGACACTAAAACATCCATTTTAGCAAAAAAAAAAAAAACATACGACTGCCTTATGAAAACATATACGGTATTATGGCACCATCACTATCCATATTTTAATGGTGATGATAGTGTCACAAATATCCCATAGGACTCCATAATGGAGTTATGGAGTCATATAGGTCTCCATAAATCTACTCTCCATTTTAGAAGGGGATGGATACATATAGTGATATAGAAAAGTAAAGTTCAAAACATGCCACCCTTAACATGATTATGCCATAATAACTCCTCAATTATCATGACTGTCCTCACTTACATTAGCTCCTCCTTCCTCTTCACTTCCATTGGGTTCTTGACTGTATTTCTCCTCACTTTCAACTGGTTGTGCCTTTCTTGCTCCATTTCCATTCAATCCAGTTTTATTGTGCTTACTCTTTGGGTTATCTGTAGCATCATGTTTTTTTTTCATATTCCCATTCTCGGCAGGTTTCTCTTCCTTGGTCTTTTTGTTAGACTCCGCTGGTTTTGAAGATGTGGCCTTCCTTTTAGAATATTTCAGCCTGAACTCTGTCAATAACATGGAAACATTCTGTCTTCTTAAAAAAGGTAGGTCTGAACTCATCATCTTGGAAGCAAAGGATGTGATAAAGCAAACAGACATATATGTCTGGCAGGAAGGGCAAAAAAGCAAATGAAAGGATAAGTTTCCATTAAAGCACAAAAAAACAAAACAAATCAATTTTGGAAAGGTAAATTAGTAAAAACTGTAGTATTTAAAAATACAAGAAATAGTATGACCTCATTTTCCAAAATAAAAAGATATAAGCCCTCCTTTGCTCACCTGTATTATGGTGAGAAGGTTTGGGCTCTTAAGAAGATTTAAGCCCACAGTAGCATATACTTAACTGTTTATCATCAACGCAGAGGCTACATGGTATCAATTCTTATACTGTGCCGAGCGTTTACTGTTAGAAAAACAATTCAATATATACTACTGTGGGCTTAAAACTTCTTATACTGACCCATTCTTTCAATAGGCCAATATCATATACATATGACAGAGGAGAGATTTAAGGCGAAACAAACTAAAAGCTCCGATATCTTATAAGTTAGCTGATATGTTCTGTAAGTTATAACTTATACAACCTCTGTCGCCAAGAGAGACCTCCTTTAACAAGGTACAACCGTACAACTATTTATCTTTAGTAAGGGGCAACGATAAGAAATAAACAATTCTAGCTTTAATTTGAAATTTACTTGGTTTAACAAGCAATCAGGGAACGACCTGCCTAAAAACAAAATTAGCAATCAGTTATCCAAATAAAAGCTAAAACTTGAGGGACGGCAAAAAAGAATTAATGGATAGAAAAATGTAGTGCAAGAATTAATGGATAGCCAGCCTGACCAATACTAAATTTGGATCTTTTAAAAAACTTAAGGGGATAATGAAAAAAGAACAATAACCTTCAAGAGAAGCTCTGAGAGGATCTACAAATTCACTAAACTCAACGTCTTCAAGAGCCTTGAATACATCTTCTGCACTCATAGTTTGCCTCTTAGAGTCCATGCAATTATCATTTGCGCTAGTATTACAAAAGATATATAAGAGCAAATTAAGTCAGCTTTAAAAACGACAGAACAAATACATTTCTGCAATTGTGGCTTTTTAGATTTCTCATCAAGTGTTATGAATGGCAGATGGCAGAACTTGCCGGACAGCATCACCATATACTACCTGACATTCTTCATAAATTTCCTATGACGGCCGGAGCAAAATCCACCATAACATTCATCCATGGTACCACCAAGGCCACCAAGTAATAACACTGTTGTGTATCAGTACTCATTGATTAATTTACAGAAACTAGTGAGGCCAGGTTATTAATCCCCCACCCCCGAGTGAACAAAAAACCATAACTGACTCACTGAATCTAACCACATATATATAATAAAAGGAACTAAACAATTTTGTTATATAGATTGTGATAGGGTTCTCACTTACCAGAGACGCAAGAAAAAAGGAATAACAGTTGACTGGGTCTTCAATTATTTAATATTTATTATTTATTTGTTTAATTATGTCAGTTATAGAAATAAGTGGGTTTTGGTGTCATGCATCAGTCCACTATGGCAGTTCTTAGATCATGGATGGAGTCACTTAATGTGTCAGTTAATATGTCAGTTATTAGATCATGGATGGAGTCGGTTATATTAAGTCAGTTATGGGTCAGTTGTATTTCCTTTATAGATACCCTAGCCTTATTCAAGCTGGGTATGCATGAATCAATATTATTTTCAGACTTGGAGATTCTCCCTTGGCTTCTACTATCTCTCATCTGTGAGATAGTGTGAGAGAGAAAGTAGGAGAGTTTAGCCTTTTATTTCTGATCTTACCAGATTGCCTTCACTGAGTAGAGGAATACATCACCTCAAAATTCTTGTCTTGATTCATCAAACAAAATGAAATCGCTTAAAATCTAAAAATAAACATGTTTTTGACACCAAACTACCGAGTAAAGTTAAATATATCAGCATACATAATGAAGCGAGCTGCTGTCAAACCAAAAACAAATGGAAAATTTTGAGTAATGGCAAAATGTACCTACAGGCCTTGCAAGGATTTGGATGGCACAACATTACAAAAGTTATGGACAAATTGAATGATGGTTTTCTGACGGCAGCTTTGATGATTTTTTAAATACCAAAACAAGATATGCCGACTAGAATGAAGGATAAGTTTTATCAGATAACAATTAGGTTTGCATTATTGTATGGCGTAGAGCGTTAGACAATGAAACAATGTCACATTCAAAAGATGAATCATGAATGTGGCCGAGATGCACATGTTGATCGGAGCGAAGAAAATTCAGCCCAATGAAACAATGGCTGACATGGGAAACAAGTTTATTTAGTTTACAGCACTTGAAATTGGCTGATTTGAATGAATTTACTTGAGAGGATATTTACTTTCAACTAATGTTTATTTATAAGATTCATAAAATATATATATAGAGAGAGAGAGAGAGAAAACTTCATGTCAGGCCGGCCTGACGGGCTGCCCCGTCCGGCCGAGCCCGTTTGGGCACCTTCCCGGTGGAATTTTTTGATGAAATTTTTTGAGCAAGTTCCTCGTCAAGTCTAGTTTGTCCATACCAAATTTCAGCTCAAAATTCGATCGGGAAGGTCGTCAAATGATTTTTGCAAGTTAACTGGTCCGGAAAATACATATTCCGGACCAGTTAACTTGCAAAAATCATTTGACGACCTTCCCGATTGAATTTTGAGCTGAAATTTGGTATGGACAAACTAGACTTGATGAGGAACATGCTCAAAAAATTCCACCGGGAAGGTGCCCAAACGGGCTCGGCCGGACGGGGCAGCCCGTCAGGCCGGCCTGACATGAAGAGCACTATATATATATATATATATATATATATATATATATATATATATATATATATATATAAGATTCATAATTACAAGGATAGAATCATATCAATTTATGAGGGAAATACAAAATTTTCCTATTACTCCCTTTATCTAAAAGTTTGTTACACTTTCCTTTTTGGGATGTATAATAATTTTTGTTATTCCCTTTTGGGTAAGGTTCCCTTTAAAAGTACTCAATTACCCTTACTTTTTCTACTGTTTACCTCATTTTTCATATTTTTCATCCTCTCTCCTACTTTTCCTACATTATTCATTACGCCTACTACTTTTCCCTTAAACATTGTGTCATATTGTATCGTAGCAAACATTTCAATACGGAGAGAGTATGTCCATGAAAAAATACATTTCAATATCGTACCATGAAAAAATGCATTTTTTATGTCCAATTGATGTAAGGGGTCAGCTGTGCATAGCTGCCAACGTACGATTTCATGATTCCTCACTTCTCCAAACTCAAATTTCACCAATACAACAACAACAACATCCAAGTCTTATTCCCAAAAGATTTTGGAGCCCGCTAACATTAATCAATTGAAGATATCAGAGCCAAAAAGAGAAGAAAGATAAGAAAAATAAAAAAGATAAAGTAAGATAAAATGGTCGAATTTCATCAATGTAATGGCAAAATAGATCCATTGCCCTGACTTAAGCGTTGTGAACGATTTTCCAACAATAAAAAAATGCACCCCAAGGCAGGGTTGGCTTAGCAACCTTTAACATGACTGGCATGGGTGCATGGCGTAACTTTGTGCGGACCAATTGGATTTAGCAGTATCTGAATTGACATGGATTGAATTCTATACTAAGTGTTCCAAATGTTTCAGCCTACCAAGTAGTGTTAGTCCACAGAGGGAGACCAATCCAACCTTAAACAAACATCAAACGTAGAGTCATACATTGAGACAATTACTTACTCGTACATCAGGACATCAGGTACATCGGTAGACATGCAAATCAGAATCTTCACTGCTGGTCTTCGAAAGGCATATCGCATGGAAGTTGAATACCATACTCCGATTAATCTTGACTCTGCCATGATGATTGCCCGTGACATTGACCACAAGCTACGCTTTTCCTTGGAAACATTTGCACCAACAGCAAGATACAACCCAGTTACTTTTTACATCGAAGCATCATAATCAGGACTGAACCAACCTTCTCTACTCGAAATCATCCCCATTCAGCGAAACTACAATCCCACTTCCAAAAAGATTCCACAGGCAGAAGTCGTAATTGGCCTGGGGGCGAGGTAACCGTTGTATGTACTTATTCTTCTTGGAGATCGTTGATGATGACCATCTTGAGTCAGACATGTCTGACAGTGATCCCTCTTTATTGTTGTTTGCTATAACAAGCAGCCTCCCCTGTAGTTTCAAAAGTTTTGATCCCGATACACATCTAGCAGCCACGCGACAGATCTGACATTGGTCAACGGCTTGGTCTATTTTCAATCTAAATTCTATCTCTTGGATTTCTTCACGACATTTTGACCCTGCTTTTAGTTTCCCATGACATGGCATACGAAGGAGTGAGAAAAGGCACTACAGCGTCTCTGTCAAGAGTTTGTTAGTCTAACATGAAATGCACTATGGCAACTTTTATTTAGAATTCCATAAATGGTTGATCTTACCCCCGACAAGCTTTTTTCAGCCACTCTTGATTCTGCAACACATTTGGTGATCTTAGTGGTTGTTGATCATTTATCTAAAGCAGTGTATCCCAATCCATTAGCAAGCACATTCACTGTCATTTATAGTGCAAGGATCTTCTTTGCTGAAATATTTGTGAGTTCCTCTTGACAATAACTATTTTGGTTGGTCAGCACTAGTTTGGTTCTTCATCTCCATACCATCCTCAGACTGATGGTCAAACCGAGATAGTAAATCACACCATGGGAATGTATTTACGGTGTTTTGCCGATGATAACCCGACCGAGGGTTTGTTGGCTTCCATGGGTTGAATATTGCTATAACACCTCTTACGATATTGTGTTGGGGGATACACCCTAGTATCTCGTTTATGTCTTGACCACCTAAACTTATCTTATATATCCCCGTATCCCCGGGATAACATGATTGGAGGGCGTGGAAGGTCATCTTGTTAGTTGGGATCAATTCTTAGTTAAGGCTTGTGAGCGACTTGCTCAAACCAACAATGTATGAAGCTGCATCATGATCAAACTCATCGCAATCTTTTGTTCTAGGCAAGGGGTTGGGCCTGGCTACACATTCATACTTACGGACAGCTCTCTCTAGGTCGCGATAACCATAACTTAATTCCAAAGTTTCATGGGCCGTCTCAGATTCAATCTCGAGATGGTCAAATAGCGTACATATTCAAGATGTGTTCCATGTCTCTCTTTTAAAGGCACACAAGGGCAACCAACCAGCAACCATGGAACATTATCATTGTTAGTTGACCGGCCTGAACAAAGTAAAAACCGCCTAAAACCGCCTAAATTGTGACCCTTGAGAACTTCTAGTCCACTTGTAGGGGAAATCATTTGAAGACGCCTGCTCAGAACAGGCAAATACATTTCAGGCCACTTACCTGGACTTTGAGCTTGAGGAGAAGCTCCTATTCAACAAGGGGTGATGTTATTAACCAATTCTGGAGCTAAAAATATCAATGGTGCAAGTTGGGACAAACAGGGTGCTTGGTTTGAAGAAATTCAGACCAACAAAAACACTAAAAGTGGCTGCCTTGGGGAGCAAAAGTTTCTTTAATTACTTTACTACTTTCTTAATTCAATTTTAGCATGTTTCTTAATTTAGGTTTATTGAGTTTATATGTTTCCTCTTGTGATACGTCTCTGCTCATCATAGATCCCAAAATCCATTCATCTCTTTACTCGAGTTCATTCACTCATCTCTTTACTTGATTTTGCTTTTGTTATCTCGTTCTCGACCTTGGACGAGATCTTTATATTAGCAATAATTAATTATAATCTTTTATTTATTATTGTTGTTGCTTATGTTTGAACAAGTCTCACGTATTAGCCAGTAGCTTAAACTCAGGAGTATAGTTAGGGAGAGTTAGGCAGTTGTTAGCACAGATCTCTCCACATTCATCTCACGTTCATCTCTCTCTGTACTCTATATATGTACAGGCTGCAGTCATGAATAAACCGTCTTCAGATCCATAATCTTTATATGATATCAGCGAAACGATCCTAAATTCCATCTCTTTCAATCCCTATCGGACGCCGATCCGATCCTCATCATGACAACTGAGTCAGCCTCCTTCCTCAAGAATCCCACCGATCCTGAAAACCCCCTAATTTGTGTTTCCTTCCCCGAAGTGGTTAAACTTCAACCCACCAATTACCTGACCTGGAAAAACCAGATCGAGGCACTCCTTGATGGCTTCAACCTTCTGTGGTTCGTCAACGGCACGTTCCCAGCCCCACCGGAGAGTATCACCAGCAACGCTACACCTCCGGTAACCAGTCTCAACCCGAAGTACACTTACTGGCGGCGTCAAGATCGCCTCTTGTGCAGAGCCCTTCTCACAACCCTGACGGAATCCGTCGCTTCCCTGGTGTCTGGCGCCAAATCCGCACAGGATCTCTGGACCAAACTCAAGACGGCGTACGCCAAGCCATCCTGGGGCCATATCAAGCTCGTTTATGCACACTCTTAACAAAACGTTGATTTAAACTTCCATGTTACTACCTCACCCCAGGCTCCTCTTGAATTGTGGGAACTTGCCCAGTTGCCCTTGTCTGCTATGCACACTACATCGTCTGCTTCACAGTTCTCTCACTTTCATTTTATATCAGTTCATTATGACCAAACTTTATCATTATGAAGAGTCCTTAAATTATTATAAAATCTTGTGCAATCCCACTTCAGAATTTTCTTGGTATCACGTTACAAACACCATATGTAAAACTAGTTCACCACTAAGGAGATGGCAATATTAAGTGCAAGATTAGCAAAGCTTACCGTTTCTAAAAATAATTAACGATAATATGTCTCAGCTCAATTAGCTACTTGAGCCAATAATTCATAACTCAAAGTGAAGTAAACCCCGGAATATCAAAATCCAAGACAAGGTGGAGGTAGGTTATACATTGTTACTCCCTAATTCCCGCAGTAAATGCACTCACAATGATTCAATCAAAAATAGAGGGGAGGGGGCATGTAAACAAAGGTCAAGTGCAGAAATAGGATAAATAGATAGAGCTCACGCAGCAGAGAGGTAGTGGATGAAGATGCGGGCACTCTCGGAGAAGGCTTGATGAGCATCACGTAGGAGGGACATATCGCCTTCCCTAGAGAGCTGGGAGAGCTTGTCTTTCACTAACCGGCGCACGATAGTCTTCGGCAGGTCTTCTACCTCCACTTCTGGAATTGTTGATCCTTTCACTTCCGCCATCGCGTTCCTCCCTCCCTCCCTCTACCTCTCCGGCTCTCCCAACAAGCACAGGACCCTAGGTTTGTTTTCCCGTCACAAGTGGAGCGTTGAGATTTGCGACTGTCATTTACTACCTCCTTCCCAAGAATGTGGCATGTTATAAATAAAAGTGGATTTAGGTGATTCATATATTGAATTGATAAAGTAAGAATAAAGTAGAAATAATTTAGAACCACACAAATTTTACAAAATAAGGTATGAGACAAACTTAGTGGGACGAACCAAAAAGGTAAAATGAGACAATCATAGCGGGACGGAGGGAATATTTAATACTCGGAGTAAAAGTGATTTTAATTATGTTGGTCATGAGCTAGCACATTAGAGGCTGGTTTGCAATAGCTTAAAAAAGCACTTCTGGGCTTTTAACACTTATTTATCAAACACTACCAACTTTTACTTTTCAAAATCACTTTTTTCTTAAACACTATCAACTTTTACTACTAATTACTTTTTTCAAATCACTCCAAAAGTGCCTTGATGGAGTATATGGCCCAGGGACCCCCGGCCCACAGACTCCTACTATTCCGACACAGGCCCAACAGGCCCAAGAAGCGCATGAAGCCCAAAGCACCGCGGCCCAAGCGCAAAGGAACCCATGGTGCGCCCGGGGATGCCTTCGGCACCATGGCCGAAGGCTCCAAATTCCACAGAACAGCTAGATTTGAGCATACAAAGCTACTGGGAGAAAACGGCAGAAATCAGGAGCCTTCGGCATATTCGTGCCCTCGGCATAAGAGTAGCATTCGGCTACGCTGAGCCTTCGGCTACACAAAGCCTTCGGCCACAGGGGGCCCTCGGCTACATAGCAATCATCGAAGATTCTCTTTGGAGACAAGCAACCACCGCATTTAATGCGGCGTCACATCCGCCCACCGCATTTAATGCGGCGCACGTGCGAATGCTGGTGCCACCCCGATTGAGGTGACCCCTCGACCGTTAGATTGTTGACACGTGCACTCTCATCGCATTTATGGCTGCTATAAATAGCACTCTTTATTCCTCTTGTAAAGGATCCCAGAACAAGTTCATTTAATATACTTGGCTCTCTCTCTTACTTGTTCGCTCTGACTTCTCTCTAGGTTATTCCCCGCAATAACCCCTCGGATAAACTACCTCCCGGGTACACTGTCCATCATTTGGTGCTCTCGATGAGAGGTCCGAACAATCAAGTAAGAAATGTCACGCCCCGGACCTACCCGGACACGTCAACAACCTGTCGTACAATACGAATAGTCAACCATAGTCAAACACATCCATATTATACAAGGCGTCATGAATATCATTCACATGTAAGTCATCCATAAACATACATGATAAGTAATTTAATACGCAGCGGAAAACATAGTCTGAAATCAAATGCCACACGGGGCAAACATGAGCACGCAGGCTCTAAAGTAAAATATCCATGAGCAAATTTATTAGTGTTCAAATCAGAATGGAGAAAGCACGAACCAAGTCTTCTCTCCGGGAAATCACTCGATCAACGAGCACAGGAAGCAAGCTCTAGCCTCAACCTGAAATGGTGGTGGGATGCCCCCGAAGGGGTCAGTACTCTATAGGGCTATAAAGTGCTAGTGTGGATGGCATCTAAGGGATATACAACAAGTATTTCAAACATAAGACCCTCAAATAGGGTGATAGTACGATATGACTGTAACCTCAAGTTACCCCATTTAAAAATATACTTACTTTATATCAAAGTCAAGTAGTCGGCCCGTAGGCCCATGTTTATTTAGAAATCACCATTTCCCATTCCCCGTGATTACTAGTCACGACAACTCATAGAGTTAATCACATTACCATTGCATAGCAAGGGCTCGGCCCAACTACATTTCTATGCAATCCTTTACGTCAAGTACATCCTATCACATTTGCATAGCAAGGGCTCGGCCCAACTACATTTCTATGCAAATCACAATTTACATGGCAAGGGTTCGGCCTAACTACATTTCCATGCAAATCACAATTTCATGGCAAGGGCTCGGCCCAACTACGTTTCCATGCAAATCACAATTACATGGCAAGGGCTCGGCCTAGCTACGTTTCCATGCAATCATAGAGTCCGGCTCTAATTCTTCATTATAATCCAATTCCTAAGCAAACCTATGCCTAGAATTGACATCTTAATAATCTACCTTGGGTCATTCTTAATGACTGCCCATAACTTACCCTTAGCTTCATACTAAGTCATTTTATACACTTGAAGTACATTCAAGTGCATTTCATGCAATCCAATACTTAGGATCAATTCTATCAACAATCTCAAATAATCACTAACTACTATTTCAATACTATTAAGATTATTGTCATCATAAAAATATCCTCATTTTGTAATTCTCTACATATTTATAAGTATGTAGCAGCAACTTAAATATTCAACTTCAATACATAAATATCCATTTATGTATCCACATATTTAATACATGAGTAAAATGCCTATTTCACAAAATAGTTCATTAGTAACTCATTTAATCTCATATTATCCATACAACCTCAAATCATTTACAATTTCATTCATTGTCAACTATATCCATTTTTCATCAATATTTAGGCATCATAACCCATGAAAAATCGTGATTTAGGCATTTAGGTAATCTCATGCTTAACCTATAAGTTGTAAGCAATTAGATGTCGATCCTCACCTTAATTGAGCTTTAAACCTTTCCTTCTTGATCCAATGACCAAAGCCTCAGCCAAGGTGGATTAAGAACTGATTCCTTGCTTAAAAATGAGTGTTAAACAGCCTCCCCAAAGTGCTAGCTCAACCCCTATCCGTTGATACGAAAACAGCCCCTAGAATGGGTGTTTTCCGGCGAACATGTTTCCTAGTTTTTCCATGATTTGCTCTAGGTTAGTATCTAACCTTTACATCAATAAAATAACTTTATAAGGACATATTATACACTTGGAGTAGTGTATAATAGCCCCACCAATCGTTCATATCATTTGGAAAATGAAAGGAAAGGTTTTTGGGGTTGAAACTCACTTTAGAAGAGTAGATCCGTTTCTGCAAGGTTGTGTTTTGCTCTGACGATTTTGAAGCCTTCCACTACTCCGATTGATGCAAACCAGACCTTCACGGATTCCTTGTCTTGAGATCTATCCGAAGGTACCTCACACGCCTGATTTGGATTAGTATAACGCGAGATATGAACCAAACAACACCAGTACTCGCACTGCTCGAGTTTATACGCAGCGGTTCACTCAACCTCGATTATCGACTGTAAGACTCTCTCTTCTCTCTCAGAAACCACTCAATACGGAAACTAGACTTCAAAGGCTATCCAAGGACACCTTATACAGATTATTTTGTCGAGTAAAACTTCACTTATGAAGGGAGACAACCAGCACACGTATTTTGGGCGAAAATTGACTAGGTGGCCCCAAAGTTGATGCCAATTGTGTCATGTGCAGCTCCTCTCCATGTTGTGCGGCCAAGGTAAGTATTCTCACTTAATTTTCTTGTATTGAAGGTACTCGAATCATGTGGAGTGCTCCCCAATTGATCCCAATCAATTTGGGGTCCAAAATATCTACCAATACTTCCAAAAATGAAAAAATGGATCCTATTATTTTATCTTTTGTCAAAAGATGTCTTTTTGTACTCATTATAATTTATTTAGAATAAGTCAACTCTCTACATCATATTATTGATCTCCAATATGTGTATGATCATCCCAATAATTTACATGATGAATATTATAGAAGAAAAACCTACTCCCATTATTTAGTTCAATAATGTCAAGGACGGGGTCATAGGCATTTGTATTCTTCTCTAATCATGTTGAGGAAAATACTTATTGTGATCAAGTTTGTCTAGAGTCTTGTTATCCCAATTAGATTAGTCTTATCTTTTATAGCTTTTATGTAAAGAATAAATGAACTAAGGGAATAGGGCCCAAAAAGGCCTTAGGCCCAAAGTTCTAGGTTACCATTTCGGTACCTGTACCTATGCCTATAAATATGCGTACATGTGGTACAAGGCCGAATAATCGATAATCAGAAATACACAGTGCTTTTCACTCAGAGTTTTCGTTTCTTATTTCTCGATAGTATAGCGTAAGGATTTCTTCTGTTCAGATTATTTCTCGATCATTATTAAGAATCTTTCTCTATATTATTGTAGATCTTATTTAGCTGTTCTTTGATCTTGGTATTTGGGACCAACAATTGGTATCAGAGCCGATCGAGTACTGATCTGCATCGAAGAAAAACTGCGAAGAAACACTCTGTTTTATCTTTTCGATGTTTTTCTAAATCTGCGCTTGTAAACCTGTTACTGGTCATTTCCTTGTAAAAGTTATACTGCTAGATTCACCTTTCAAAAACGAACCAAGAGTATATATGTATTTTTGATACATGTAATCTTCAAGTTTTCGAGTTCTCGACATTACTATATCGAGAAGCTAGTTCTCGATACAGTAAGCAGGTTTCTCGAAGTCAGATTGATACAAGAAGCTTCTCGACATCGAAAACAACTCAGCAGCAGTCTTCATTTTTAAAATTCTGAAAATTTTTAAGTACAGGATTTCGATAGGATGATCTCGACATTAAGCTCGAGAACTTAGTTTTCGATACTAGCTTCTCGCATTAGTATTTCTCGATATTTGTCCTTTGAAATATTTGTTTTCGATATTGCAGGTTCTCGACTTCAGTTCTCGAAACTCAAACTCGAAAAGTCAGTTCTCGAACTGAACTTCTCGAAGTTAGACTTCTCGATATCGATTTTTCGAACCCTTATATCGAAAACTAACTTTTCGAAGTTCGATATCGAAAACTTACTTCTCGATAATCTTTCTCGAACTCTTAGTTCTCGAACATTCTTTTTGAAGTTTCACTTTTCGACAATCTATACTTAAAAATATTTTTGTGACAGATCAATCACTCGAACGGTCATTTTTTAGAACAGCAGAAATGGACGCTCTTTCAATGGGAAACGACAACAGACCCCCTATCTTAAGGAGAGATGAGTACGTGATGTGGAAGAACAGGTTTCTCAATTTTCTCGAAAGCAAAGACAACTCTTC